TAGTGTTTGTTGTGTGTTTACTGACGACGACTGTGGAAATATTGAACAGTGTTCGAGTCAAACCGACAACAGCATTTACAGCAGCAATTTGAGTATGATGAACAACAAAACAACAACACAACACAAACAGCAGAACAGCAGCATAACGCCAAAGAGAGCACAAAATAGCAAACAGCCGACAGCCTACGCTTATCTTTTTTATCTGACCATTTGTTTGCCCATTTAAGTATTGGTTATAAACGCCGCCGGTTGTGTTCGTGTGTTAATATATTTCGGATATGTCAAAAGAATAATAAATTGTGATTTTAAATTATGTGAGAAAATTAATTGAAAACAAATAAAAGATTTCACCTTCCAGATACAAAATTTAAAATTATTATATATAAAGGGGAAATGAAATAATTAAAATCTTATATAAAGTTCTGAATAAAGGAAAAAAGAAAAGTTTTAAAAAAATAATTATTGTAAATCAATTGTGAAATGAAGAAACAAAATAAAAAAGTAAAAAGAAAATTATGAATGAATAAAAAAAAACATAGTATCTCCATTGAAGCATTGATGCGTCTGTGTGAATAAATGAGAGACAAAACCGACATTTTTAATATGTGCGTAAACTATACTGTGTACTCACGTAAATAAAAAAAAAAGCAAGCGTGTGTTAAAGATCATATATCTTAAGCATCAAATTAACAAACCAAAATTATTGTGCATTAAAACTAAATATAAAAAAGTAATTTTCTTATAATAAATAAATGTTCTAAATTTATTAACAATAAAAACAAAAACTTACCCTCTTAAATATATTTAATTCTTTACATACATAAAACAAAAATTTGAGTGAAAAGGAAGTTGGTGAGAAAATGAGGAAGTAGAAATTTTGACGTTTCATTTTGTGCTGCTGTTTTCTTTGCTCTCTTATTTTGTTTAGTTTCATTATTTAAACAATGTCATTGAATTCTACGTTCCACTTCCAATGAGAGTTTGCATTGCATTCCTGTTACGTTCCAATTAAAATTATAAGAGAAAGATGAGTAAACCTAAGAATAAGAAAAAGTAAACAAAACGAAAGATTGTTGGTGTAGTGTGTTTTTATCAGGTTTCGTTTTATTCCGTTTTGTTTATAAACATTAAGTGTTATTAAGTAATAAATAAACAAATAAAATATTATGGCTTTTTTCTGCGTTTTATAAATTTGTTGCTTAATAATTGGTTTCTATTCAATTTGGCGAATACACAAATATGCAATGTTTAGAAATAAAATTGTCAGTGTAGCTATTGAATTAATAATAAATTAAAACTAGTTTAGTATTTATTATTAATAAACATATTTCCATTAATGGAAATAATAATAAAAAAAATAAAAATAATAACAAAAGAATATAAAATAATAGATATAAAAAATAATAATAAGAAAATAATTAATAATGATAAAAAATAATAATAGTAAAAAATAATAAAAGTAAAAAATAATGATAGTTAAAAATAATAATAGTAAAAAATAATAATAATAAAAAGTAGTAATAATTATAAATAATAATAATTAAAAATAATGAGAATAAAAATTAATAATAATAAAGAATAATAATAATTAAAAATATTAATAATTAATATTTAATATATTAATTAAAAATTATAATAATAAAAAATAATGAAAATAAAAATTAATAATAATAAAAAATATTAATGAAAAAAAAAATAATAAGAATAAAAGCAAATAAATATAAAGAATTACAATAAAAATAGTAATAAATAGTTATAATAAAAAATAATTGTAACAATAAATAATAATAAGAATTAAAAATAATAATAGGTAAAGATAATACTAATAAAATGTAGAAGTAATAACAAATAATAATAATAAAAAATTATAATAACAAAAAATATTAATAATAATTATTAATAAAGTAAAATAATAATTATGAGAATAATAATATTCATACAATAAACGTAAGATTTAAATTTTATACTATTTGTGCCTTGAAGAGTTGCCAACAAATAAACAGAAAACGTGACAGCTGACAGTTCAGAGTTACAAAAAATAAACCGCCTCATGAAAGAACAACTCGTTCTTACATTAATTTGAATGAAAGAATTCAAATTAATAAAATAATAAAATTAAATTTAACATTATAACCGCGTTCGTATTAGTCTGAGCAACGAGTAACGAGACATATAGGTAATAGTGAGAGTGAAAAGCAAATTTTAAATTCAATGAAGTTAAGAAGAAAAAATAATGAAACAAGAAAATTGGTCTTCCCTTTTTTACATATTGTCTTCTTACAGTGCAGATATAATAAAAATAAATCATAAGAATTATGAAAAGTAAATAGGATGAAATAAAATATAATAATATATAATAAAATATAATTATATATGATAAAATATATTTATATATAATAAAATACGATTTTATATGATAAAATATAATTATATATAATAAAATATAATAATATACAATAATAAATAATAATATACAATAATAAATAATAATAATATATAATAATAAATAATAATAATATATAATAATAAATAATAATAATATATAATAATAAATAATAATATATAATAAAATATAATAATATATAATAAAATATAATAATATAAAATAATATAAAAAGTGATAAGAACATATAAAAAATAGTGAACAATTATAAATAATAAAACATTATAAAAACGATAAAAATAACAAATAAAATGATAAAAAAAGTAATGTAAAATATATAAAAATATATACAAATAAAATAGTTTACAGTCTTAATATAAAATAAAAATTGTAAAAAAAGTAAAAAATTTATTTATTCTACAACAGAAATGAAGATTATTGAAAATTATTTGTACAAAGTTTAATTTCAAAGAATATTGAATAATCAAAGACCATTAAATATACATATATTCCAATCATCAAATTATTATATTAGAATAGACATACCTACATACTCATATTGTACTGTGTTGACCCACTAATTTTTTTTGATCCAGATAAAAGCCGAACAGTCGAATTAATTAACTTGAAGTCTACTCTTTGTCTACGCAGATTTGACATTCCATTAACTCATACTCATCTTATTGAAGTAGTAACAAAAGTTCACATAATCTGTCAAGTAATATGTCAACTATCTCTGCTCTGTTTTACTGTGAAGGTTAGTTGGTTAATCGATTGCTGCAGTTGATATCGTTTCGTTAACTACTACTAGAGATTTTTCACCGTTTTACTATAACATTCCTCTCCAGTAACTTTAAGATATTAAAACACAAAAAACTAAATTCATTTTGGCTCAATTTAGATAATATAACAGATCTTTTGTCCTCACCGTTAAAGAGTCTCTGACAAACTTTAAAAAGGTGTAAACCTTTTTATATTATCATGTTTATTTTTCTTGTAAATTTCCACAACTTCTGTAGTGAGTTAGAATAAAAGTCAGAATCTGCAGTTTCCCTGCATGGATTACGATAAACCAATGAACAGAGAGAACTGCAGTAACTGAGTAGATAGGGTCTTGGTAGTTATATAGATAAAGCAACGGCGTTGTCTGGTTAATATCCAATTTTCGTTTAGAGTCTTTGTTGTGGTATGTAGGTTAGTAGGTAGGCTGGAGTAGCGGTCTCAAATCTTCATTTAAGCTCAAATAATAGCATTTTGTGATACCGCAGGAATAGCATTGGTATTTGCGTAGATTGACAAATTAGTACACAACCAATGCCGAAAAAAGTAACAACTCTCCCATTAGATAAACGACAACCAACTTGACAGTTTTATAAACTTGCCTAGGTCCGTAATATTACAGAATGACAGCTCAGTCAAGTCGGTGGAAGAAAAGGGATCCCGAAGGATTTTGGTCTTCTCATAGCTAAAGAAGGAGACATCCTCAGAGGATCTACCGACTTGGATACTTCTCCTTAAAATATCTTTCTACATTCAAATTCTTCTTCAAAAAACTTATTACTTATCAATTGTTTTCTAAAAAAAAAAATGTTAATGTTGATATTAATTTTTTCTTGCCGAGGCTATCTGAATGACGAAAAGGAACTATTTAAAAGTTAAAGGAGTCGAATAGCAAAGAAAACACAAAAACAAATATTTAGTTATTTATCTAATGATAATCTATTATCAAAGCCAATGTTTTAATGTTTTTTCATTAAACAGTTTTTCTTTTTTTTTTTTCGAAAAAATTTGTTTTCGATTACATTTTGTAAAAATAATATATTGAAAATTATCTGTCTAAGATTTCTAATAAGTAATCTGATTTACATGTCTGTGATAATAATATTGTCAGAAATTATTTCAGTAGATTTTTAATTTTCTTCGGGGTTATAAAAATCATAATCAATCAAATTAACAGCTGAATAGTGTATCGGTACACACTTTAGAAATAGAAAACCATATGTTACTCCAAGGGGAGGTGATATTGAGGTCTATTAAATCAAAATAAAAACATAAGTTTGTTATCTATTATTAACAAACTTGCAATTAGAGATGATTGCATGTACTTAATATTCCCAAGTCTGCAATTACTGCTTGAGTGTACATGCAACAGAGATACATTTTTAGCGCCAGTTAATATCAGATCTTTGCCAAGCGAGTTATGAGGAATAAATAAAACGCATTTAATAGATTTAAAGTAATGTTATTGAACTTGTTTGTTTTTATCTGTGCTGTTCTCAAACACAGCATTCTGTGCTCTTAGAAATTATCTATGTTCGTTTTAGAGTGCAAAGATAAAATTTAGATGCAAAAACACAAATCTAACAAAAACAAAAACAAATACAAATGCAAATACAAATGCAAATACAAATACAAAAAATACACTGAACTACTACAGAACAAAATGTTTCTTCAATGAATTTTCATGTGTGTCGCAACTCTCCAACTCATACATTCAACCATTTGAACTCTTTATTTATGCTCTTAAATTATTCACACACATGTATGAGTTTGTTTCGAACTTGTTGTAACATATTTGTTCTAATAAATTAATGTTTTTTTTTATTTGTTTTTTCAGCTACAACAAAAATGACGTCCAAACAAAAAAGTGTAAAGTATCTGAATGTAAAACACACGCTCAAAGCTACTAAGAAAAATATCGCAACCTAAAGCAACTCAAAGCAACCAGTAATGTTGAGGGTCTAAATCAGATCAACAATTCCTGCAATAAAAAATTGCAAGCCATTTTTTATTTTATTAATTATTGAATTACGCCGTCAAGGCAAAAAAACTCAAAATTAAACGCAACAATAAAAAGCCCTATAACGGCAGTTATTTGATGAAAAACATGGATAAGAATGTTGGTGACGCGGATTGCAAATCAGGTGGCGGCAGTGGGAAAGCCGGCTCTAGTGCCAGTGGGGGCGGTGGAGCCGGTGCACATGATCCCGCTGCGTTATTAGATGCAGCCTCTTTATTTGGTTAGTTTATTAATTATTATTTATATAAACTATATTCATAAATAATTTTTTTATTTTTATTTTTATTTAATAATCTTTACAATAGCGTATTGGGGAAGAGATCCTGCAACAGCAGCAGCCGCTGCCACAAATCCACTTTTCAGTTCACAATTTAATGCAGCTGCAGCGGCGGGACTGGGTTTATTGCCGAGTCCATCAGCAGCAGCTGCAAATGATCGCTACTCAATGGCGGCTGCAGCAGCTGCAGCTGCAGGACATCACCATCAGAATACAATGGCAGTGGCAGCTTCACAGGCAGCTAGTTTAGCAGGTCTGCATCCAGCAAGTGAGTGTGTAGCGTTGTTAAATAAATAATTACATTATTAGAATAATTAAAATAATACAAACAAGGTTATAATAATATTTATTTATTATTTCAATAACAAAATTTTAGTTGTACATTTTTGAGCGGGCAGCCAAATTGGTCAATGTTTAATAACACAACTAGTATATAGTACTCTAAAGCTGACTTAGTCGAATATATCAGTAAAAATAAAATATATTTTTTTAATAACTAATTTATAAAATTGTGTGTTATTTAACATTGCTCAATTAACTCGTTCAGAAATATATGAATATTATTTTTTAAAATTTAACATTATAACATTTTGCAATATTAATTACTTAGTAAATTATTTGTAATTTAATATTCTATATAAAAATATTTTATATAATAATATTTTATATAATAATATTTTATATAGTAAAATTTTATATAATAAATATTTTATATAATAAATATTTTATATAATAAATATTCTATATAATAAATATTTAATATAATAAATATTTTATATAATAAATATTTTATATAATAATTATTTTATATAATAAATATATAAAATCTTTATATAACATTTTATATAATATTCTACAAAATATTTATGTAATATTTTATATAATATTCTATAAAATATTTATATAATATTTTATATAACATTTAATTTTATATAAAATTTAATATAATAAATATTTAATATAATAAATATTTTATATAATATTTCATATAACATTTTATGTTTTATTTTAATTAATATAATATTTTATTTAATATAATATTTTATTTAATATAATATTTTATTTAATATAATATTTTCTATAATATAATCATTTTTATAATATAATCATGTATATAATTTAATATTTTTAATAATATTTAATGTAATATTTTGTATAAAATTTTATATATTTTATATATTTTATATATTTTATATAATATTTTATATATTATGTTTATTATATAAATTATTTATGCTTTTTTGAACGGGCTAAAATTTCAATTCTAAATACCATAATAAACAACTTTTTGAATTAGTTTAAAAAGCAAATTTCATAGTCACCGATATTTCGATTATAGTCTATTAGTCATCCGACTATAGTATATAGATGACTTATTTACTAGTCGAAATATCGGTGATATTATGCATTTTAAATATTAATTAAAACAGTTGTGTTTTATTTAACATTTGCCTATAAGCCCGTTCAAAAATATCTAAAAAAAAAGAATTTAATGAATAATATTGATTTATGTTATATTTTGATATTTAGTGTCGCATTGGGTCTGAATATAATAAAATATAAAAATTTGTTACATACTTCAGTATATAATTATATATAAATAATATACAAAACGATTACTTGTTTACAGGTTGGTGGTCAATGGCACAGTTAGCAGCACAGGATTATTTTAGTCGCTTACAAGCATCCGGCTTGTCGCCATTCACTCATCCGGATTTATCAGCTTTTGGTCCCTCTGCACTTGGTCTAAGTGGTAATGCAGGCAGTGCTACGGGTGGTTGTGGATCAGGACCAAATGGTTCGGGTATGAGTTCTGGTGGTGCAGGTGGCTCAGGTGCTGGCAGTGGTTCTTCCTCAAGCAGTAGTAAATCAAGTAAATCTCGTAAAGAAAAACGTCAACAGCAACAACAACAGCAGCAGCAGCAACAACAACAACAACAGCAACAACAAAATTTAGCAAATAGCTTAAATGCCGCTGCGGCAGCAGCAGCAGCTGCCGCTGCAGCTAATCCAGCAGCTGCTCTAGCTGGTATGCATGGTTTAGTTGGTGCTGGAACAACAATAACACCTTCTGCAACTATGACTAGTGGTGGTGGTGGTTCCAGCAATTCATATAAAGTAAGTTTAAATAATAGCACATAATTTTTACATAAATAAAACTTAATAAAATTAATTTTATATTTCAGTCAAACTCAAGTGGTTATGGTAAATCGTCTATGTCTGGCAGTTTGAATACGAATCCTGGATCAGCTTACGATCCAGTTGTTTTGCACAAAGAGTTGATGGCAATGCAAGTGGCCGCAGCTGCTGCTTCGTCTGGAGCTAGTGGTAGTGGATCATCAAGTTCCTCGTCAAATAAGAAATCATCCCATTACTCACAGTCACAACAGGGTAGCGGAGTTGGACTTTCCTCTTCCGGCAGTAATAGCTCGAATAAATCTCTTTCATCTAACAACAATAGTATGCATCATTTAGGTGGCGGTGGTTCTAGTATAAATAATTCTGCTAGTCATCACAATGCACTTATGTCACCACATGGTAGTGTTAATATGTCAGGTAGCGCAAATACTGGAAATAATTCTATGTCGGCTAAGGAACGTGAGAAAAACAATGCCTCGCTCAATGCATTAAATTCATTATCACAATTTGGAGCTCTCGGCATGAGTCCTCAACAGAGTGTGCAAGCAGCTATGAACGCGTTTGCTAAGAACTCCGCTGCGGCTGAGTTGCTTACTGGTGGCAAATCAAAGGATTACATGCCATCAGGCATACTGAGGTAAATGATTAAAGTTTGCTGTTTTGTTTTGACACAATAAAAGGTGGGGAGTAGGATATCATTATAGATAACAACAAATTATTGTAGACTGTTTGAATTTGATAAAAAGTGAATTTTATGACAGATAACTTTCCATAAGTTTAGAACAGTAAAATTAAAGTTGAACATTTATAAATTTATTCCATGGGAACGTATAACGTATTGAATATTGTCAAAAATTGGTGAAACGCTCATTGGTATTATGTGGTTTCAAACCTTATTTAAGCTAAAGCTACCCTTTTTATTTAATTGTAATATTTTATTCTTTTCGAATTCATTTTCTTGGATAATAAACTATGTAACACTCACACATATAATCCTCGTACTCGTAGTGCTGCACTGGAAGGAAAGTAAGATCCTCCTTTTGATTATTTGTTTTATTGATGTTGTGAACTTGTCTTGTTACTGGTGTCCTTTTCGTAGAAAGGATACTACTGAATCTGATCAATTGGCATTTATTTAATAAATCTCTGTACAGTGGAGTTAGGCATTTTATGCATTATTAACTAAAATCATTAGCTAAAATCAATCCACTGTGTGTGATTTCACAATAAAATACAAAATTTGACTAAAAATTTATGTGTTGATGTATGCAAATTGCATTTATTTTCTATTAGACAAGTTTTTAATATAATTTTTTTTCTCTTATTTTTATTGCTGCCGCCTATTGCTTTGCCAATGTGTTATGTCTGTGTGTGTGTAGTGAACATCCGTCCTTGCTGGGAGTACGTTTGCCGCCTGATACGGAGATTATAAAATACACATCATCCATCGTGGGCCCCAAAATACCCGGTACTACTACACGTGGTCGTAAAAAGACCATATCTGAAGAACAACAACAACTACAACTACAAAAACAAGAACTTGAAACATCAAATGCAATTTCCTCTTTACTTGCATTTCCAGGTCTCAGCCCAGCGAAACGGGCTAGACTCGAAATGGAATACGCAGCAATGGCAGCAGCAGCGAATGCAGCGCAACAACAACAGTCTGGTGGTGGAGGCAGCATGGGCAGTGGCAACTCTAGCGCAGCAGCAGCGGCAGCTGCTGCACTTGGACATTTAACAGCACCAACTATAACAGGCACAAGCAACAATATTGGACGACTTGATCATACAGCACCAACAAGTTCAGCTAGCAGTCGTGATCCATCAACTGATCGTGTAGAAGTTATAAAATTGCCGCCTACAATTACATCAAATGGAGCATATAATTTATCGAATAAAAGTAAAGACTTACATGATATGAGTAGCGAACTCAGTACTGGTTCTGGTGTCAATTTAAGCATGAAATCGAATCTAACTGCTAATAACTCAATGGCTGGCACTGCGGCCAATCCCATAACCATAGAAGACTTTGACACACCACTGAATTTGTCAATGAAACCAGATAAGCCCAATTCATCAAGTAGCAACGATTTTAGTCAATCAAGTAGCATTAATCAACAAAATGCTGGTGCTAGTTCAAACAGCTTGCAAAGTTTAAGTTCAATTACAGCTGCTTTAGGTGGTACACAAACTGGTTCTGGTTCGGGTTCAATTGGAGCTGGTTCTAGTAATAGCAGTGATCGCTCCTCCCAGCCACCATTCAAGGAAGGCCGTCCGCGTAATTTGGGCAGAGGTGTATCAAAACCGAAGAAAAACACTGTAGCTTCGTTATTAGCACAGTCCAGAGCTGTTGGACTGAAGCCAATGTTAGCGACGCAGCAGTTACTGCAACAAGGTGCAGATTTTGTAAGTAAAATAATATTTATTTAATGTGCTGTGATTAAAAATAACTTCTCTTTGTTATTTATGGTAGGAAAAAATTCGGCAGGCACTTAGTGATGCAAATGCTCAAATGGAAGTGTCTACCGACTCTGAGAGTGTGGCTGCTGAAAGTGGTTTATCGGAGTCTGAAAGCGAAGAAGCAAATCTACTTAATGTCGCTGAGTTACGTGTACCACTTGACTTGGGCTGGAAACGTGAAACAGTAATACGCGGCCTCACAAAAGCTGGACAAATACGTGGGGAAGTAGTTTATTATGCTCCTGGCAACACTGTGCCATTAAAGACAATCGGACAAGTTTTCTCTGTGAGTTTGTAGACGAGTTTTTTCTCCCACTATTTTTAAAATATTATTATAAACATACAGTTAAATTGAATAAGATATAATTAATATATTGTTTTAATTTTTTTTATATAGTACCTGGAGAAAAATCCCTCAAAATTATTACGCGAAAATTTCAGTTTCTCTGCACGTGCAATTGTTGGTTCGTTTTTACAGCCAGCACCCCCACCATATGCAAACGATGGCGAGTATATACGTATGTCTGATGAGGACGTAGCTAAGCGTCTGGAAGATCTTAAAATGTTCACAAGACAGACTTTGAATGTCGAGCAACGCATTGAGATTGCGAAGCAGCAACAAGCCATACGTGATGCCAAAAAGCAACAAAAGGAAGAAATGGCACGCAATAAAGAAAAAGCACGTCAAGAAAAAAATGAGAAACTAGAGCAACAGCGCAAAGAGAAGGAGTTAAAAAATCAACAAGCAATTGAGGTAAATAGAGATTTCGAAATTAATTTAATAAGCATTTTTAACAAAAGTATATTTTTAGGCGCGCAAAAAACGTCAGGAAGAACTTGAACGCATTAAGCAGGAAGAGTTAGCAAAGAAACAGCAGGTAACGATATTATATTTTAATAATTTATTTACGCGAACGTTGTGTTAATGTTAATATTTTAAACATATTCATGCGCGTATAGAAATGTAAAATGTATTTTTTTTATTTTCCGAATGACCACTCAAATGAAAAATTTTATATTCTCTTTAGGAAAAAGAAAAGAAACGACAAGAAGCTATTTTAGCTAAAGAACAGGTATTACTTACCTATTCAAAATTTGGTAGTTTTTTGATTATTTTTGTTTCATGTTTTCTTTTGTTTCTTTTATAAATTAGTTTTTGTAGCTTCATTAACATGCCATGCATTAAGTATTTTATTTCATCATTTTGTCATTAAATTTCATTTATTTGTTCGCTCCAATGTTGTGACCTAACAAATAGTAAATTTGTAAGAACATTCATTGCTAGTAAAAGCACTTAATTATTAGTTAATTATCTCTATCATTTTTGTCTATTAAATTAAATTTTCTGATTTTTAGTCTGTAGAAATTGCAAAAATTACAATTACAAAATAAATCATATATATTTTTTCAAAGTAGTTAAGTGGTTATAATAAGCAGAAGAGATACTAAAGATCATGACAGAATGGCTTGCCTTTTTTTTGTATCCTGTAATAGTCTCTATAAGAATTGAATATTTCGATATAATATATTTTCTCTTAAAGCAAACATTATAAAAATTTTATATCGATATTAGTTTAAATTTCAATGCTTAAGGTTTAAAAGGTGTAACAATAAAGCTGATAATGATTATTGATTTAAATAAAAAATAAATTTACAAAAATAAATAATTTTATTCCTAACCATATGCTTCATATTTATTCATTTATTTGTTTCTATTTATTTTTGTTTTTTTGTTTTTTTTGAAATATTTAAAATATATTTGTGTATATTACTTACAATGCAGATCTATCTGCAGGAACTCAACAAGCAGAAGGAGTTGCTACTAGCCGCTGAAATGGTATGATTAATGTCAAATAATATTTTTAAATTTTCGCATTAATCACTAAAATTGAATCCAGCTTCTTATAACGCTTTTTTAACTTGCACTTCTAACAATTTTTATTAAGTTTTTGTATTAAAGAAATTTTTGTAGAAAATCATTTATTTAAAAAAAAATTATTTGTTTGTATTTTTTTTGTAAAAAGTTTTGGTTCAAAAAATTTGTAAAATTTATTTTTAAATTATATGAATAAAAATATTTAAATAAAATATATATTTGCACAAACTTTTTGAACAAGTCTTAATTTAATTTTGTTTTTTGTATTGAAAATTGTTTAATTTAATTTTATTTTTATTTTTAATTAACGTATAAAAATTAATGTTATTCATTGTCATTTATTTAATTGAGTTTATCATAATTTTTATTTATTTTTGTTGAATTTCATAATATTTATTGTTTTGTAATATTGTTTTTCTTAATTTAATATTTTAACACTCTAATACATTGTGTTAAAGCAAATATAATTTAATGGTTGTTTTTATTTCGTACTTACTAAATTAAGTAGATTTATAGAGAGATTTATACTAATTTTTATTAAAGTATAAAATATAGCAATAAAAATTTTAATATTTTCAATAAAACAAAAATAAAGGATCGTGAGCGTAGACGTCAGCATGTGGCATTAATACGCCAATTGGAAATACGTCGTAAATTTGAAGAACGCGAGAAGAAGAAACATCAAATGGTACTGGACCGTTTGATCTTAAGAGAAAAACGTTTGCAAGCACGTAAACGTGATGCTGAAATTTTGGCACACATAAGGTGAGGTGCTGTTAAAAATATATAGCCATAAAAATGTCCAAAATTAATGTCCATTGAAAAAGATATTCGATCAGCGATATCAGTAATTTATTTTGTGTATTTAAGTATATGCAAAATAATGTAATAATCCTAAATTATTTTCAATATAACAAAATATATTTTCCCCCCATTAATTTTTGTTAAATTTTTAAATAACACATATAATTTCATTGAAATTTTATTAATTATTCTCTTATATAGAAAACCTCAAGAAGATTCTGAGATTGTACATCCTGCCGAAATTCCTGAAATGGAACGTGTTGCTGGTAATCGTTTACCTGGTCAGGCAATGGCAGATTTACTAATGGTCTTTGAATTCTTACATAATTTTGGAGAAACATTAGGTTTCGGTGAGATATTTTTTCAAGCAATCTTTAATTATTTATTAAAATGTGTTTTCTCAGCAGACATGGAATCTTTGCCATCATTGCAAAATTTGCATGATGCTCTTGTTGCTGATAGCAATGTTGAAGCTGAAGAGGAACTACTATCTGTGATGACACATTTATTGGTGTGTGCCATTGAAGATCCTGGTATACCGAATCCTGGACGGCATACAACTTTGCTCGGACAATCGCTACGTAATGCTGATATTACAAATTCGAATGTATCAGAAATACTTCGCATTTATCTGTATGCTACAGCCACAGGCGAAATACGTCAAATGTTCGGTATTACAATGGATCGTGAGCGTGAACGTCGCATACCTGATCATCATCAAGTTGATGCTGATGCTGTTACACATTCTGGCAAAAATCAAGAATATTATAAATTGTTACATGAGAATGAAACATGGAAATTATCGCATTCGTTGAAAGATCGACCATTTGTGGCACTTAATCCAACACGTAAAGCACAAATACTTGCGCATCTTTGTAATGATTTACTTATGAATAAGGCGGTGCTTAAACAAATAGACGGCAGCTTAGAGACATGTGCTCAAATGCGTAAAGAAAAATATATGACAGATATGAAGGTGCGAAAGTATAAAGCTTTGCATATGCGTAAATCACGTATTGAAGCTTATGAGAAAGCTCAGGCTGAACGTGAAGCTGCAATGTTGGCTGCTGCTGCTCAACAAAAGCTCGATGCGGAACGCGCTGAAAAAGATGCTGAAAATGTGACAACAAATGCTGCACCTAAAGATGATACAGAGGAGGCTAACGAAATCAATTCTGTTGAAGTTGATGAACGCAATAATAATAGTAAAGATGAAGGCGTTGTTTCAGAAAAAATGGATGTAGATGAAGAGAATATACAGAAAAACAATGTTGCTGATATTCCCAATGACAAGCATGATAAAGATAAAGATAAAGAAACTAATGATGACATGCATATTCCAACTATATCGTTAGTGGATGCGAGTCCATCCAAAAGTTGTGTTAGTGATAATACACCAGTTAAACAAGGTAAGCTTGAGGATTTAACAAGCTCACCAACATATCAAAATGGTACTTCAAATGCAACTGCTACCACAACAGATCTCAATGCATTATTGTCAAAGAAGAACAATACACGCACGAACATAAATGATGATGCATCCACCGATGTCGGTATGGACGATGATTTAAGTGATATGGAGTCTGAAATTACTAATGTTGAAGAAGACGAAGACAACAGACTTAGTGCGGATGAATTACAAAAGAAACTCGATAAAATAATACGTGCTTCAATGAACTGTAAAGAGGTATTGGAGAAAAGTACGAATCAATTGCGTGCAGCTTGTTTTGGTCAGGATCGTTTTTGGCGCAGATATTGGAAATTACCTAAAGCTGGTGGAATTTTCATTGAAGCGCTTGAATCAGCACAATCTGATATTATGCAATATCACGAAATAATCGAAGCAGAAAATGAAGAAAAACAAAGAGAAATTCAACAATTTCCTTCGAATGAAGTACCAGAGCCAGAAATTATAAATGAAAATGATGAAAATACAACGAATGCTTGCAGTGTAGAAAATGGTAACGATGATAACGATATGGAAATAATAACTAAAGATAATGTTGAAAACATGGAGACTGATGAACCCAAAAGCACTGTTGGTCTTGAGGAAGATGATGATGATGTGATAGAAACGAATAAAGTAGAACCAGAAATTGTTGATTTAGGTGATGATGACGATGATGATGATGTCACAGAAACACAACCTAAGCTTAACGAGAGTTACAATATATCAAATGAGAAATCCGATGTTAACTCAATTACTCCGTTGGGTCCTTCTGTTACTACCAAAACTGATTTTGAAGCAGAGATTAAAATTCCTATTGTACCAACATTCAATTCAAGTGAAGAAAACTGTGATAAATTAGAAAATAATACACTATCTTCAAGCTCTGCAATCGATTCAAATGTATGTAATACTGCTTTAAAGCCAGAGGATATTAAAAAAGAGGAAGACTGCATAATTGTATCGACAAGTGATGGTACCGTCGATTGTGGTGAAAAGTGGTTCTCTATTGTTAATCGTGAAATGCCTCTTACCACCACAGAACTACAGTGTGATGAGAGTATTGCAGAATTTCAGGCTGCATATGCAAATATTACTTGTGATTCTTCCATACAAATACAGGGCCATCGTTGGGATATTGCCAATAATGCACAATATTTCACAATACCAATGGACGATTGTAAAGTTGATACTACGAAATTTATACAAGAGTGTATACTTTCTTTATCTGGTCTTGATGAAACTCAAGTTGAACAAAAATTGCGTGAATTTGAAGAGAAAGTAGCGACGGCTTCAAAAAACGGTCTGGGGTCTCCTCGTCAGCGAATGAAGAGTGAAGAAGCGGCTAGCGGTGATGAGGAGCAAAAGTACGGAGAAGAGTATATAAAAAAATCTTTAAAAAATGAAAGTCATGATGAAAAGTTTTTTCCCTTTCTTAACGACACAAAAATGGACAGTGGTGGAGTAGATGGTGTAGGCCTCGCGGGAGGTGGGAAAGATATTCCAAACGAGGATTTTAAACCAGCTAAAATTGAAATTAAGCTAGACGAGGCAATGAATATTTCTCTACAAAATTTATCTAACATGTCATTGAGCAATATCAGCACTTTCGTTCAATATGACGTGCCTACCCCTCTCTCAATGACACCAGATGAGCATAAGTTTTTAGAACAAATAAAAAATGAGGGGCTTCCCAAAAAACTAACCAATACTCATGTACCACAGCAAAACCGATTCGGTTGGTGGAAAGTAGATACTGTCGAAATGTTACGCAAAGTAATAAACAATTTAGATCCTTCAGGTTTAAGAGAACGCGACTTACAAGACAATTTAATGCGTTTCTTGGCACAAGAATTGCCACTGGGACTAACTTGTGAACTTATCGGAACTGATAGTAATAACGTAGAGATCGAATATATGCCGCCTGATAAGCCTAATGATTGGAATCCGAAAATCGCAAAACGTGTAGAAATAGCTCTGCTCGAACAGCTGGAAGCACTAGAAGATAAAATAGCAAGTGCATCGATGCAACTTAAAAACTGGCAACTCCCACCGCGTATTGAAAACGAACTTAATTTAGAACAGGAAGACATAACTGAAGAAGATTTTGTCAGTATTATACCGATGATACGTGAACGCATAATAGATTTAGAAGCTAATATTGAAAGACGCTATCTGAAACCACCGTTGGGTTCACAAACTGGTGATGCGCATTTAGCTGCCATAGCACAAACTCAACAAACAACGACACAAACACAAAATTCAGCTTCAGCAGCAGCTTTTCTGCTACAAATGCAACAACAAGCTGCATCACAACAGCTACTTAATATGCAACAACAGCAATCACAAAATACTATCAGTGCATCCGCATTTAATGAGCGAGCTATGGCCATTGCAGCTGCCAATGCGGCTGCAGCTACACAAAATACTCTAGATAGTAACATGTCAACTAATGAGAATAATTCTGGTGGCAATTCACCAGATAGCAATTGTGACAGTGATAGGGATGAGAAGGTGGAAAATATACCAAAAGGCTTAGTTTCCTGGCGAGATGCGGTATCACGTTCACATACAACCGCACAATTAGCTATGGCACTATACGTGCTAGAATCATGTGTGGCTTGGGATAAGAGCATCATGAAAGCGGTAAGTGTTAATTTTCTATTTTTCATAGTACCAACACATATTACATAGACACACTTAATGTACATGTACACATAGACATACACTATTCTTACAATTAGTCCACCTACTATTTATTTGTTATTTTTTTAGTTTTTTCTTGAGTTTGTTGCATCTTTAAATTTTTCTGTTATTGTTATATTTGATATTAATAATAGTTCTGTAGTTATTAATAATGTATCTATAGTATAGAGGATTGTAGTTAGAGTTCATTTACATTTAATCATTATTTTTGAAGCCTTAACTTTTTTTATTATTTTTTTTCTATAAATTATGGAGTTTCATTTGCAAGTTCATTTCTTATTTCTTTGGTGGAATGATATTTGAGATCAAAACTCCTAAAACAAATGTGTTTATGAAAAGCTATTCAAATGGATATGTTCTATTGGATAGAACAATATTTACACACATTAGAATTATTATTAGTTTAACTAAAACATTTCAATTCTATTTTAACATTCTAAAAACTATAGAAAGGACGTATTTAGAACAGTGCCTAATAAGAAATAGTGAATATTTCGAAGATGTTTCACAAACCAATCGGTATAGTGAATTACTGAACAAATAGTTTGGTCCAGAGATTAGTACAAAAAAAAAACATATAGTTTTTATAAGAGAGTATAAATTATCTTATCTTTGCTTATTTAGTTTAGTTTATCGTAAAAATACTTTTCTTAAATTCGAATTCCAGTTGAAACAAAAAAGTTTCTTGCTTCTAACTGAAACATTTCAGAGATAAATATAACAATTCATTCATTTACATACTTTACATACATTCCAAATTTTAAACAGATTAATTATTAGTTCACTTCATTGTTATCGTTTCTTGTGTTAGTTGATCAGATCATCGTGGATCATTTGATTGTTGCTGTTTTTTAATGAAAATTGTTTAGCATTGACTATCTGTGCTTGTACGGTACCTAATATAATCCTAATATGATCTCAATCAGTCTCAATCTCAGTTCGATCATATATTAAAAGTTATAAAAGAAATTTAGTTTGAAAAGATACGTTCCTTAATATCTTCTAGCTAATAGCAGACTGAAGGAGGTGCATAAAATAGCATAAAAGTCGTTTAATAGTAGGAACCTCGTAGGAGTCTCGTAGGAAACTGATAGGACCCTAATACGAGTCTATTAGAATAATTCTTTTCTTATGTTGCGCTAGAAAAGTACAAACAAAGCGTTTCTTTGTTTTCGTCTACTTCTTTTGCGAGTTCTCTTCAGAACTGTTATGCGAGTTCTGAAGGATCAATACTTGTATATTGATCTATAAGACAATATTATACGTTTTTTTTTTATTTAAATTTCTTGAATGTGCTGCGTAGTTGTTAGAGTTTAATAATTTCTGCACCATGTATATTGTTCTTTCTTTTATGGCAATTCTATCAGTTGGGAACACTAACAGGCAGAAATCACAAAAAAATAATTTATTGCATTAGCCAAAAATCCTATATAATATATATTAAATAAATAAAAGAATATGGGAAATAGGTAAAGGGAAATTAGAAAGAATACAATGCATGTTAGAAATAGGAATAGGTGAGGAAAGTTGTGATAATCGAACCAGGTTCATTCAAATGTTCAATAAGTCATAAGTAGACATGTAGTTGTACCGGGCTATGCAAATCTATCGTTAATTAAACTTTTTTTTGGAATTGTACTTTGTAATATTTAAGATTGAAATTCAATATTCTTTAATGTTTCTATATATATTTCCACAATTATATTCATAACGTTAACTATATTATAATATTCGGTAAAGTTCGATAATAAAGGTGTGCCTTCTATTTTTATAAAACATTTTGAATAGTTTTTAGCAGGAATAATCACACTCTAACAAATGTTAGGTTTCTCTTCATTAAAAGCTTTATTCCATTGCTTTAATTGTATGTATGTATTTTTCTTTATTTTTTACCAATCTTTAGATTGATTTAGTTATATCATTGCTTTTCCTTTGTAAATTTGAAAATCTCGGTAGTTCATATATTTTGCATTTAAATAAAAAAAAACACATTTTGTTTTCAATATAAACAATTAAAACTAAAAATAATTTATTTTTTCTTTTATTTTTTCTTAAAAAAAAAAAAAACGCGAAAATTTTGTTGTTGTTATGAAATGAATTTAAAATACATATATACAATTTATGTATTTAATCAATAAATATATACTGCCTGCTAATTTCTGTTCTGCATTAAATAACATAACATTTCTCAATACACAACTTACATATACATATACACATTGACTTACACATACTCAAATATAAATGCTTTTTTGGTTTTGCTACATTTTTCCTAACAATTTGTCTTCTAAAAAAAAATTACATATATAAAAAATTGCTTCTTTATTGTTAATATGAAATGGTGTTTGTATTTTGGTATTACTAAATTGTTTTAAACACTTTTTTAATATATTTTTCGGGGCACACACACGCTTTAATTAATACATTAATTAATATTGTCCATGTTATTTTTATACCTTCACATAAACTTTATAAAAAATGTGACTAAATGTACAAACAAATTCATTTTATGCATTTCCCATCCAAAAATTCCTGTTCTCCCCCCCCCCTCTACTTGCACGTCATCATCTTCTCATGAATGATTGAAATCTCACCAATAGCAAAAACAGAAAAAATCTAAAAAAGAAAAAAAATCAAAATCAAAAGAAAACGCAACCAGTAAGAAAAAGCAATCAAAAAAAACAAACAAAGTAGTAGATACACCCACTGTCGTTAAGAGTCCGAAAAGTAGTAAGAAGACTGAAAAAAAGACTCCTAATCAAAATATATGTGCATCCCCCAAGCTATCACCGATACCAATAGCTAAGAGTCCGAAAACTTTGACCACACCTAAGACACCAAAAAAGAAAGCTAAAAAGAAAGTGAAAACAAATAAAAATAAATCCAAATCAAAGTCAAAAACGAAAACAAAATCAAAAAGCAAAAGCAAAAGTAAAAGCAAAAAGGATTTAGAAAACACTACAGACACCGAAAGTGAGATTGAGTCATCTTCATCTACAGATAACTCTAATGATGAACTACCAACAGATGTTGATGATAATCAAGATGATCTTTCAAATAATTCATTAACAAAAACCAAATGTCAAAAGCCTGTAACAAAGACTTCAACACCAAAAAAATCTAAAAAACTTAGTAACAACTTAAAAAACGTTACCGCTGCTTTAGTGGTCTGTGAGGGTAATGATAATACTCCTACAACAATTAAAATCAATTTTAAATCCAATTCCTCTAAAAATTCTTTTGATACTAGTACACCCAAAAATAAAGTCCCAAATACGAACCAAATACCCAACACATCCAATACATCCAAACCGTACAAAAAGTTCACTAAGACAACAACAACGACAAAAACTGCTACTACAACAATAGAAACAATCGAAACAACAACAACTACAGATAATATAGGTACAAGTACAACAACAACTTCAAAATATTCGAATTCCTTACAGAATTGCCAGTTCTGCACATCTGGCGAAAATGAAGATAAATTATTACTGTGCGATGGTTGCGATAAAGGCTACCACACCTATTGCTTCAAGCCTAAAATGGAAAATATACCCGATGGAGATTGGTGAGTATCACAGAATCTACACACAAAAGTGGGTGGTAAAAATTTAAATAGTTTTAGTTTTATCTATTATCTACTTAGTTAATTTCAATTTTTTTTTGTTTGCCGTACCCATTAAAATAAGAAAAATTAGGAAAAGAGTGTAGAAAAACAAAGGTTTAGTTAGAAACACATGGAGAGACTTAAATGATATTAAATTATTTAGGACAGAACTGGAATAAGATTGATTATATTAAAAACAAGTATGAAAGTTTAGTAAGTCTGACTAAGTTTAGTAAATTATAATGCAAATGGTAAGCGATATAGATTAAAGCATAATTCCGGAAATAATGAAATTTTTATTATTCATAATGGTACTCTCACATTAGATCTCTTTACCTCATTATAAATACAGGGTTAAGCGATTGAAGTGTTACCAACTACACACAGCTCATCTGTCAAACTGATATTGCCAGCTATGTGAATGACAGCTGTTTATATTGTTTACAAGCTACCACAAGCTTTTTATTTTGTTTTATAGAACAAAAGTTATTTGAAATGAAATTCAAACATAATAGTGTGATTGCGTTATATTGCCAAAATTGCCAAAATAGTGGAAGATCACACTCGTGAAGCATACAGTTAATTTTTATAATCGTTTGAAGGATATAGTCAAGGCAAAAGGTGGCCACATCTAACTATAGTAAATGGATTCTGAAAATTTAATTATTTCCATAAATTTTTGTAAATTTCACTCATAAAAGATATAGTCGCTTGAGTAGATAAAACACTTCAATCGTCTAATCCTATAGATCTCCCACAATATAGAAGATTTATATATCGAGTATTTTATTCCAATAAAAAGAGAAGAATAGTAATAATATTGAGAATAAAAATGACAACAAAGACAATAATGGAAGAAAGCTTGACAAACAAATAAATAATAAAATAAAATAAATAAAATTAAATAAAATTTTTATATATATCTATATATATTTTGATAAATATATATCCTTTTCAATTTAATTTTTTTTCAACTTTATCGAGAAAATGCGCTAATTTGCGTTACCATTTTTATAAATGATTATTATAGTCATAAAAATATAAATGAAGAAACTTATGTATACATAATACATACAATATATTATTATTATATATATATTATATAATATATAAAAACATATACAATATGAAATATATAATATATAGAGCTAATAAACTTTCGTACGAGAAACTATTTGAAATCTAAATTGTAAGATAATTAAGAAAAAATTTTTGTTAATGCTTAAAATATTGTTTTGCAGTAAAAAATAAATGGACTGAATAATTCCCATTTTAGACAAATTTATAAGAAGTTCATTATTATATTGAAATTAATAATTTTAGAAAAAAAAAGAGAAAAAAAAAATGAAGAGATATATTAAGTCAGTCAGAAAAATGATAAAAACTATATAGTACGATGAAACAAAATAAAATTTATATATAGCATAAAAAATTATATCATTAATTTATAAAATAATGATATTAATATGAAACAGATGTCGCGTTAGAAATTAAATCGATTATACCAGAGACTTACTCAAGAAATCGTATAAAAGGAACTTTTTGGAAAATTGTTTGGAACATACATTTTTGGATCAAAAGGATTAGAAATCAGTTTTTGTTTTTTATAAAAACAACTACAAAAATTTTATAATATTAATATAATAAAAGATTTATATAATAAAAGTTTACTATTAATATAATAATAATATGACACCATTGTAACAACACTATATAGAAATGCATCCGAAATAACCCAATAATTTGTAAAATAAACCATTTAATAGTAATTTATAAATTAATAAGAAAAATTATAATAAAATAATATATTAATACACTATAATAATTATATCAAAGATAATAAAATTATATAGATGTACAAAAAATTATTGGCTTAAAAATGTTTATATTTTGTGCCTGAAACTGTCCAATCTCAGAATAGCTTTTAAGAGAGAACTTTTCTATATAGATTTATCAGAGAAAAAGCTCGAAGGCCGAAGAAGAGAGCTTGCTAATGTGTTTCTTTAACACAAAATAAAGTTTCATTGTTGAGGAAATTATCGACATGCAGAGTTAAGTAGAAGGATGAGTACGATACTAATTCTACGGTTAATATACTCTACGTTTTTTTGAAGCTTTGCTACTTTACACTCATGGAATAAATGGAATAATGAAAGAATATGGTCCATGGTCTACTGTTTAAAAAAAAAATTGACAAAACTAATACGGCACTGTGTGAAGGTTGCAAAGATAATATATATTGCGATTGCTTATATTCTTTTTGAATTGAAGGTAATAATTATTAAACTCTTAACTAGTGACAGAGAAAGAATGAATTAAAATTTGTAATATTACAATAACATAACTATAACTAATGTTAATAAAATAAATTAATTAAATTGAATAAATAAAAAATTGTGAAAACTTCTATGGATGATTTAATTAAAAAAATGTAACAAACTATAAAAATATGATAGTTATGATACAGTTACTTTCATTATTAAATTTTTGTTGTATAAGTATAATTTTGGTAGATATCTTTGTTAGGAAATACGTTGTAATATTTAATAAAAAATAAATATTTTGTAATTAGTAAAAATATCAAATAATAATGTAATCGAATTAAAAATAGACTGTATTATTGTATTAACTTTTGAAATTTCTAACCTAGAATTAATTGATAAAATATAATTATTTTTATTTAATTGAATATTAATGTCTAAATGTCAAGTAATTCATTTGCGAAGAGAGAGTACTGGTGATAGTGAAGGAATTTTTATCTATAAAATTTTAGTTTTCATTAAGTCAACTTTAGAGTGATCATATTGCTAATATTACTGGTTTACTCAAATTGAAAAGCAGATTCACGTGTCAGTCTAATAGGCTAGGGTTCGATTTATGGTAGGTCAAAAAATTGTGTTTCGACCATTAAATATTAAGTACCATTGATGACAAAAATAGCAATCTAAAACAGTTAGTATAACATGTCTATATAGAAAATATCTTATATAAATAATAAACAAATAAATAATATAGACATATTATAAAATCATATATATTTCCCAGAAATCTTCTATCTGTTTTAGACTTCAAACAAACTACATAAATCAATATTTATATAAGGACATATACATTTCTTATAATTTAATTAAAAGTATTTAGTATTTTGTTTTAAAACTTTAATATTTTTTTATATTTTTTTTTTACATTAACTTGGGTTTGACAAAACTTCATAGCACAAAAAGGCTTTAAAAATTCATTTTCAAAAAAACATACCATCAATTGTCATTGCCCTATTCTCACACCACTTCTCATATATACTAATTGTGCTGTGATTCAAAAATTATTATTGTTTGTTATTATTGTTATTATATGTATGTTTGGTCCGTAAGTTTTACGTATTGTGCAGATGTAAACATTAATAATTTTAGTTACCCTTGACATAATATATATATATTTTTTTTTTACTAAAAAAAATATTTTAAATACCACCCATTGCATTCATAATTATTTTTATATAAATTCTTAATTTTTTTTCTTCATTTCTTCAATTATAGGTACTGTTATGAATGTGTTAATAAAGCTACTAATGAACGTAAATGCATAGTTTGTGGTGGACATCGTACAGCGCCTGTAGGAAAAATGATTTACTGCGATCTATGTCCTCGTGCCTATCACTCAGATTGTTACATTCCACCTTTACTAAAAGTACCACGCGGTAAATGGTATTGCCATGGTTGTATATCAAAAGCACCGCCACCAAAAAAACGCACTAGCAGCAGTAAACCACGTAGAGATCGAGATTCGTCTTCCTCATCTTCATCTAAAAAACGTGACAAACATGGCGTGAATACAATTGGTGACCAACACAATACGACAGCAGAACATAATTTGCAAAATTCGTCACAGCAATCATTAAATTCATCACATGATGAATCGATGGCTTCACTTCCAGCTCCTTTGAGGTAGTTATCATCGGCAAGTAATTTTTAAGTTTGTGTAGGATACAACTATTGCTATATCAGAAACAAAAACAACTTTTATGACTAGCAATAGTTGAGTAAAAAAAATTTTTGATAGATACATTTAAACAGTAAATTAAAAAAAAAAAATAAATAAAAAATTACACTGACTCTGAGCTTCAAATTTGACAGGGTACGAGTTCAACCCTTGTTAATTGCAGTCTCAAAAAATTATTTGTGAATAAGTACATAGAAAAAATAAGCCCAAGACCACTGACGATGAGTATTTGGCAATACTCAAAACAGCTGTATGGTTCAGCCAAATATTAAATTAATTAAAATTAAAAAAAATTTTGTTATTACAATTCATTACTGTTCGGTGAAAACCTCTCTATTGAAAATATTAGCTTTTATTAAAAATTTAGTTTCGTCGAAATGGGCGTTTATCAATTTAATAAAAAAAATAAACAAAAATAAATAAATAAATAAACAAATAATTAAACAAATAAATCACTAAATAAAAAAAAATAAATAGATAAAAAATAAATAAAAAAATAAATAAAAAAAATAAATAAAAAAATAAATAAAAAAAATAAATAAAAAAAATAAATAAAAAAATAAATAAAAAAAATAAATAGATAAAAATAAATTAAAAAATAAATAGATAAAAAATAAATAAAAAAAAAGTAGATAAAAAATAAATAGATGAAAAATAAATAGATAAAAAATAAATAAAAAATAAATAAAAAAAAAGTTGGAATGATTTTAATTATATTGTATCAAGTTTTATAAATATGAACAGAGCTTTTAATGTTCATTCCTTAAGTATTTCAAAAATATCTAATTCTTCACGCGTTGACAAAATAATTGTACATAGTGTCATTTTAATAAATATTTTCAGCATTATTTTTCGTTAGTATTAGTTCTTAGCATTCTAATAAAAACTATAAAATATAAAAGTAATATTTCATCATCATCTGTTTCGCAAAAAATTTTTTAGCCCAGCGCATTCCATTGCTTCCACCTCGTTTGAAGATCATCACAACAATTCAATTGACGGTACTAGATTTCAATCACAAATAACAAATCGTCCACAAAGTCCCTTAGCAAATAACGATTATGGCGATGTTAGTATGGAAGATATATCAGTACATCAGCAATCGTCTCTGCTACAGGCCTACAATACTGTAACACCTCATCAACCACAAATACATCAAACACTTCAACAACAACAACAACAACAACAACAACAGCAGCAGCAGCAAATTGTACAACAAGTCGCACCAACATCACCATCATTACTACAACAAACAAATAATTTTGTTAATCTTGGTGCAACAAATCATCAAACACATTTAGATCCACAGTTACAGTCACAGTCACAGTCACAAATGCCGTTAACAGTATCACAAACTCAAATACCATACGCAATCCCTCCATCCTCACCGCATTCTATACATCCACCACCGCCGATGGTGATGCCAAGCATGCAATCACTTATACAACCACCAACTACTCTTTTACCAGCAAATTCGCCACAACATGTAACATTTCCATCACCACGTGCCACAACTCCAACACATCACATGCAACAGCATTCACCACAACATCAACTTCAACCGTCACCACGTCCAATAACACCACCAAATCTAGGTCAGATAACGGGTCCGCCTCCACCAATCAATATACACGCAGTTCAAGAAGCTAAAGAAAAACTAAAGCAAGAGAAGAAAGAGAAACACGCTACCAAGAAGCTGATGAAAGAGCTTGCTGTATGCAAAACCTTGCTAGGTGAAATGGAGGTAAGATAAGAATTGGTTTATAATTGCATAAACAAATAATTAATTCATATTTCTTACTATATATAATGTAGCTACATGAAGACTCTTGGCCATTTTTATTACCTGTAAATACTAAACAATTTCCAACCTATCGCAAGATTATAAAAACTCCAATGGATTTATCTACCATCAAAAAGAAACTTCAAGATTTAATGTAAGTTTTTTGTCTTCATTGTCAATAAAAAATAAAATGATTTTTAATATATTTTATTTTTATTATTTGCAGTTATAAATGTCGTGAAGACTTCTGCGTTGATGTACGTCAAATTTTCGACAATTGCGAACTGTTCAATGAGGATGACTCTCCCGTAGGTAAAGCCGGCCATGGCATGCGTAAATTCTTTGAAATGCGTTGGACAGAGTTGACTGACAAACATTCATGATATCAAATACATCACTATAAGTATTCGACAAGTGATTAATTAAAAATGTAGCTACGTGCGAGTATTTTATTTTTATAATTCCTTTAAAAAAAATGTTTTATAACACAAAAAAAATCATTTCGTTTTAATTGAACTTTTTTAACAAACAAGAAAAAAAAAGAAAATCAAAATACAAAAAAAATCGAAAAAATAATTAAAGAAAATTGTAAAAAGTGCATAAAAATTTTGCGCTATTTGTGGAAAATTAAGTTAATTAAAATATTAAATATTATTATATGTATATTAAACATAACATTGACATATGCATACGTATTTATAAACATTATATTGTATAAGAAATAATTAAAAAAAAACCATTTTATTTTGGTAAAGAAATTTAAGCTAAAAGTATTAGAGACGAAAGTATATAGTTTTTACATGTTTTAATTTAGATTCGCTAGTACACCTACTATTTTACATTAAATGTAATTAATTAGCTTAATCGTGTATTTAAATGTATTATTTTAATAGCTATAAATGTATTATAATAACGGTGGTTACTTCCTTATAAACAAAAGCAACACAAATAACAATTCGCGCAATTTAAAAATTTTAAACATTGCCAATAATATCAATACCACCAATATAAATTCACATATTAATAATAATTATATACATTAATTTTTAATTTTGCTTGTAGTTATCAGCTTGTAAATATATATGTAAGGAAATCTTAATAACAGTTTTAATTTAATTGTAATGTTATGTTTTTAAGTTATTAATACTTTTTTGCTCAAATCATAAAAAAAATATACAAACCGAATTATTTTTAAAAAATCTTAATTTTAAAAGGATTAATCAATATTTTATATAACATAAAAAGCAAAATTGCTATGAAAATAACGTACAAAAAATGTTACTCTTACTCCGCCTATTTATAATTTCGTTACAGTATTTTTAAAAATTTAATATCAAATATATATCCATAACTTTTTTAATTAATTAGCTTTTAAACACACTATATATAAAAGTATATCTATTACGTTGCTATAATGATTTTATAATTTTTAATTTTTTTAAAGCATTATTATTTTTTAAATTAATTGTTTTACTATTCATTTTTTTTTAATAATGTACTTAGTTTTATTATTATTACAATTAATTCTAAAAATATACATTATTGTTAAATTCTTAATATATTGAATATTTTTAATATACAATTTTATGTTTAAATGAATTTTATGATTTTAATTTTTTTCTATTTTAAATTGTTAATTTTTATTTATTAAATTATATTATTATGTAATAACTATTTTATAAATTAAAAAGTATTTTTTTTTACATAATTTGAATACATATATTAACTATTATTTTATAAGAAATAAACCTGAAATATAACTATTTAAAATGCTAAAAACATTTTTTTTCTTGAAACTTTATTTTTCTGTGTAAAATGAGAGATTTTTAAGATTCATTTTTTTAGTTCATATTTTAGTATTAGGCTACTGTGGTCTAAAAAAAATTTTTTTTTTATTTTATTATTTATCATTGATTTTTGTAATTTTTGTTACTTATTCTTTATGTGTTAAAATAGATAAAATTTTGAGATAAATTAATCTATTTTCGGTTTTTAAAAAGTTTTAGCACTTTTCGTTGAGAATTACATGAATTATCTTAAACAGATAACAGGGTTGAGTGGGTAAGTGTATGCAATTTACAACAACAAAATGCACAGGTATTAAAAAATAAAATCGCATAGCAGAAGTTAAACCTATTGTAAGAGCACAAGAATTGAAAGTGAGTGAGGAAAAAATATTGTCACTTTTTTCTTGAAAAAGTAGTAGTATTCGAACGTAATATTACATTGAAAAATGTTGGTTTTAACTATTTTGTCTCAAATAAATAAGAGAAAGAGTTAATAAAGAGTCAAATCTAATTAAATTACACATCAGAGTTACACGTTTTTATAGGATCAAGTAGTAGACTAGCGCTTTAAATAATTGAGCGATCGAAGCTTTAAGCATTTTGATATTCGAACCACTCTATACTGTTCAAATTTCACACTGTCTTCAGATATTTGCTGTACTACATTTTCATATTAAAAGAAACGAAAATAAGACGAAATATTGAGCAGATGAATTGTTCTAGAAGTTAAACATCACCCCAACTTTTTCAAATATTTAAACTACTGCGATCTAAATCTTCGTTTTCGAAGATAGTTGAGCTACTTGGATAACGTAATCTTCAAATATTTTGAAGCATTGATTCATAATTGTAATATTTAATATTAAAATATTAGTGAAGAATTAAAAGTAATCAAACCATTTTCTTTTCAAAATTAAGTCCTATTTTTTAAAGATTTAAATGTGTTGAATACACACATATCTTTTTTAATTAAGCGTATTCCTTAAAGGACTGTAGAAAGGAGTGGTTTAGGGTTTTCTAAAATAAAATGTAGTAATTTTAAAAAGCTTCAAATGAAAACAAATAAATAAAATATTGTTTGGATTTTATAAATAAATTTGTATGATTTATAAAATTTAAATCCAAATAAGATCATTTTTAAATAAGTTTTATATAATGGTAATGTTTAATTTAAAATTGAATTTGGGAATGAAAAGGAATAAGCTTAAATTGAAAATCAATAATAATAATACTAATACTAATTTACTCTAATAAAAAATTTGACTTTTTTAAAAAAATTATATTTTTTAAACATTTTTAAAATTTTTTAAAATTTTTGTATGTTTTTTATGAATTTTACATATATATTTATTATATATATAATATATATATATATATATCTATTATATATATTTTTTACATATTTATTATATATAAATTTTGTTATATTTGTTTATTATTTTATTTACTTTATAATTTTTTTATATATTATTTATATATTCAATAATAATAAATAATAATAAAAGTTACGTGCAATTTTAAATTTTTCATTTTTTTGCGTTTCTTTTATACTTCACATATATATTTTAAATATATATTTTAAATATATATTTTATACATATATTTTATGTATTCTTCACATATTCTTTTTATATGTTTTATGAAGTTTATATAATTTTGTAATTTATGAGGTAAACATATTTTTATATTTTATTTTTATTATTGGTTTATATTTTTGTTTTATTTTGAATATAATATATCCATTCGATAACAATAGTTAACAATAAAATAAATCACTTCAGCATTATTATATTTTTATTTGTTTTTGTTTATATTTTTGATTATATTTTAACATATATTTAAACTATATTTTTAATATTAGATTGAAATAATAATATTTTGATTTGTATAATTAAAATATAATTAATTTGTATATTGCTAATATTAATTTTTGTTTGAATAGCTCTTTTTTATTTTTTTTTATATATATAGTATTGTATATACTTATTGACATTTTTATATTCACTATACATATATATAAAAATATATTACAACAAATACTCATATATAATACATATATAAAACATTTATATATATAGTGAATACAAGAACTTAATCAAATAAGTATGTATATTTATATACATATAGAAGGATTAAGAAAAAGCATATTAAAATAAAATTTATTAATATATATTTTATATTTTACCAATATGCCTCTTTATTTTTCTATTCTTTCTATTTTTTTTCTATATAGTATTTCTACAATTTAATTTTATTAATCATATAGATAATGTAGTTATTTGATTATATTTACTTCAATAATGAAATTTAAAATTTTTCCCATTTTTCCCGAAATATTTATAAATTATTTTGTTTTTAAATTTATTGCAAATTATATTTACTGTAAATAGAATTTATTGTTTTTTTATTCAATTTATTTTTATATTTAAAATTATTTTATCATACAAATTTTTAAATACATTTATTTCAAACTTGAAAGCTATATAAATATTAGGCAAGCAAAAAAATATTAATAAATTAAACAAAATTATTGCATTAATTAGAAGAAAAAAAATTTTAAAAATTATTGTGGCACAAAATAAAAATAATTAAAAATTAAACTAAAATTATGGACAGAAAATTATGAACACATTTTTGAAATAAATAAATTTTAATCAGAGTAAATAGTATATGTAAGCTTTTAATAGTTATTCGGATATAATGAAATAATTAAATATAACAATAAAAAATGAGTTGATTTAATTAAAAATTAATTTTTCTTTACAATTTATTCATATCTTTGATTATTAAAATTTTAATTAGAACAGTTTTTTATTTATATAAATATCAAAACTGCATAAACTGAATTGTTTAAAAGAAACTTGAGTTGCAGTGCAGTACAATAATAAAAATACACATTAAAATAAGAAAATTAAATTTATAAAAGAACAACAAAAATAAAAATAAATATATATTTAAGAATATATAGATATTTAAAAGGCAATATAGTTTATTAATATTATATATATATATATATATATATAATTTCGTAAATGTAGCAGAAATTTTTATAAAAAAAAAAAATCAGTTTATTCAAAAAAGAAAACAATAAAATTAAACAAATTTAATGTTAAAAAAAATAATAATTATTAAATAAACAAAAATCAATACATTATAATAAAAAAATATATTTATAAAGTTTAATACCTTTTAAAACTATAGAGTGTAGTTAGTTGTGGTATTAGCAGACATATATTAATTGTTAGCGTAGTGCATATATATATGCACCAGTAATTGTTCTTACATTAAGTATCAAAAAATTAAACATATATATGAACAGAAATATTGTAAAAAACCTAACTGTGAGATTAAAATTATGTTAACAAATTGTAAATTTCAACAACAGTGAAAAAAAACTTCAATAGCATTCAATATTTGTAAATAGAAATGAAAATATGATGTACACAATATATAAGAATATTTAAAAACCTATAAGAAAGAAATATAGTGATGCGATTTCGAACACCACTTATAACCCATTTATACTACTCCTGCATTAGTTTAGAGTCCATTTACTTCTGCTTATAACTATTGAATAATTACTTTTAAAATGATTGAAGAGCAAATTAGGCTTATAAACAATTTGTAATTATTTTACTACATTAAGAATTCATTTTATTTTATTATAAACCAATATTCTCTTTTTATTAATTAGTATT